TGGTGAGCTAGATCCTCAACTGCCATTCGTCTGATAAAAGCAAACAGTAACCCATTAAAACCAAAAGTTCTATCACTTCCATCCCAATATGATAATAACATAATAATTATACCTATGCCAAAGTCCTTCTCTTATCAATTGCATAAAACTTCATTTGTATAAAGATGAAATAAAGTATTAGTTAAATAAATTAAATGAAATCATTCTCCTCATATGAAGATGAAGCATTAAAATGTTTATAACCAATGCCAAGTTGGCATCATTCTTTGGTTTCTATCTCTAGGCTAGGCACCAAGCAAAAATATAAGTCGATGAATTCCACCAAGCCTCTACAAATTTAGATTCATCAGTGTCTTTTTTTTTGAGTAAAAGGCCACAGAAAAACCGTGCAAATAGACAAATTAAGTCATATCAGCGTACAAAATGTGACTATAACTAGCAGGAGGACTATTAAAAATCTGAACAATTAAGTTGTTGGGAAAGGCTTGATGAGTCATTCAGTCTGCACATTTGTTGGCTTCTCTGAAAATGTGATCAAAAGTGACAGTCCAATCGTGCATAAGAAGGTCTCTGATTTTGTTAATAGTTGCAGCAAGTGGATGAGTATTAGAAAACTCATTGCGAATGAGTGTAATTGCTTTAGTTGAGTCCGATAATACATTGACTCTATTAAACTTCTCAGCCCAGCAAATAGTGAGTCCTTCAAGAATGCCCATAAGTTCGACCACCATGTTGGGATGGTAACCAAGAAATTTAGAGAAACCTTAAATCCAATTACCGTGGTTATCTCGAATGAGACCACCATAAGAAGTAGCCTCTTGATTGCTGACAGAGCCATCTATATTAAGTCTTACCTAATCTTTTTTAGGGGGAACCATTTGGCTTTAGTTCTATCACCCTGTTGTGTCAAAAAATTGATTCTAGATTGGAGGTATTGGTCATTGAGGATATCTTGTATGCTAGTGAAGGCAATGTCTCTCTCATGGGTACCATCTTCAGAGTAAATGATTTTGCACCTCTCTTTCCAAATATTCCAACACACGTGAGCGAAGAGCTTTTGCCAAAGGATACTATGTGATCTTGCATTTCTCGCTTCTCTTTTTGCATTTCAGAGAATCCATTCCTGTAAAGATAGAGAGAAGAAAGTATTAAGTTCAGTTTTTTTAACTAGTTTTAACCAAACCTCTTTAGATCTTTTGCAATTTCTCAAGATATGAGTGGTGGAATTCATCGGTGTCTTTTGGGTTAGTCAATTGACTCAATAATATGAAAGAATCTTTCTTCTTTCTATTTTCTTTCTGTTCACTCTTCACCTTTCTCTTTCTACCGTACCTCATTTCTCCCACTTCTCTCTCACCTAGCAAATTTCCAACAATTGTCATATAAAGCAGTGATGAGTCCAGAGTCCCTAGTCAGAAGGGACTAAAATGATTGGAGCCTGGGCTGAGGATTCTTAATGACCTTCATTAAAATTTTTATACTTCGATCAAAAACTTCAATTCCTATCCATTTAAATCCCTCCCTTTCCCCCTCTAACAGAACATTGCATAAACTTTTGGAGCCCAGGCATCTACAAACATTGAGAAACCAAATACCAAAGAACAAAAATCATCTTCCATATTATAGAAATGTTAGTTGTCATGGACCATAATGCAGAAAACTGCATCAACTAATACTCCATTGGGATCAACAAAAAGGGAAGGCAAAGAGAAATAGATTACCTTCAGTGACAGGCCAGAGTTGAGATCTCTCCTGCCGTTTAGGATGGTTGTAAAGGAGCGTCGCACCCTCTTCTCTACTTGTCCAGATTTCTACATACCTAAGTTAATTTCCACACACCCTCTTCTTTTCTTATTCTCAACTTTAATACCACAACAAAGGAAGTGCACTTTTTCATTAGAATGACTGAAGTGAAGGAGAAAGCGGTAGGGAGATCTTGCAAGGAGAACAAATATGAAATACAAGAGTGAAGGAAATAACCTAATAAAAAGAAAAAAAGGGAAAAGTTATTGTAAACTCACCTTATGTCGGAGAAAGAATGGCATGAAATGAATAGGTTGTTAACATCATTTAGATTGTTCTCCTTTGCAACCTCAAGAGTTTCCCCACCTCAATTTCTCTTCACTAATGTCATCATGTACACCATTGCTTCCCCACTTATTTAGCCTCCAATAGTGTCATTGAGCATATACCCGAGGAGGAAAATGCCTTGGTCCAGAAGATGCTTGGTGAAAACACCATTGCCGCTATCAAGGCATCGTCCAATGAGAATTTCGGTGACTATAACCAATGTGGGTACGATAGAGTCTTCATCTATAACCTTACGAGAACCTTGAACCACGAAATCCTTAAGAATTGTGACAACCAGAACCTGTGGAGTTCCAATATGATGCGCTTTGAAACGACTAATTCAGCCAGGTTGCTATGGACTCTGCGAAATTGTACTGGGGAATCTAACTCCAACGCAGCACTAGACAATAGCTAAAAATGAAGAAAATGGAGAAAATGAAATGCCATCGAAACAATCTCTGAAGAATGAAGAAAATGAAATACCATTGGACTTCCTCAGGAGCAAATTGAACGGTCTATAGAGAATTGAGAAAATGAAACACCATTGAAAATAGCATGGGACAACAACTATTAATGGAGAAGGCCTTCACACTAAATGCTCCCATGAAATTCTCAATTCAAAATTTGAAGTCACAAGCAGCTGGACAAATGGATGAGTGGAATTGGAGCTTTATAGGGCAGATACAAATTAAAATAGAATTGACCAACAAGAGAGAGGAATTAACATATAACAAAAGTACAGCAATAAAAAAGAATTAAAGATTTTTAGATCAATCAACTTCTTTCTACAAGATTTGTAGAATTTGGTAGTTAGTAGTTAGTAGTTGGTTGATAGTTAATTGATTGATTGATGATTAGAACTTAATAGAATTTGAAATTATATTGTAGAACCAAGGAATTGAATTAAAAATATATTTTAAAACTTTAATTTAACCCATCATTTCACAAATATGTACTTATTAATTTATAATGAGACCTTGTTAATAGTACTTTTTATATATTTAATTTTATTGACTTATTACAATATGAAGTGGACTTATTAAAATATTAACTTAACTTGTCATTTCACTTATACATACTCTTTTTTATTTTATTTATAAGTAACATCAAAATTAAAAAAAACTTTAAAATTTATTAACTCTATTAAAAAATTAAATAAATTTCTAATGTTGTCCATGTTAAATTTATTTATTTTTACTTATATAAAAGATAAGCTATGCTTTTAATTTCTTATAATAAAGGGTTAATGGACATTCTAAAAAGCGTTATAGATCCTAGACTCTTAAAATGTGCAAAATTGATCCTAAACTTTTAAATTTGTAATAAATTACTCACACCATTAGTTTATACTTAACATCATTACTGTTCACTTTGTGGGGTCCAGTCAAAATGCTGATGTGGCAGTCATTTGCTAATATTTCATTTGTTAATGAACAACACAAACCCCAAACTATTGCACGAGCAGTATTTTAGACCCTGAACTCTAAAATTTAAAGCAAATTACCCTATCATTTATATGTGGAATATTGACTGTTATGTTGACCAAATTAGTCTCAACATGGTTTGTTGCGGCGAACGCGTCATTAGCCAATGTAAGAAACCCATGATTTTGTGAAATGATGTTTTTTTGCTCTCCTTTTTTGCAATATTTTCCAAACGATTAGTATCTTATACTTTCATATACTCTATAACTATGATTTAGTCTTATTTTGAATAATATTTATTTATTTAATAGTGAAAACTTGAGATCCCATTTAAAAAGAAGTTTAATTATTAAAAGATTTTACAGACGATGGAGGCAAAAGTTGATGATTTTATCAATGAATTTTAAATCCAAATTAACCTGTTAATTAAAATTATTTGATATTTAAACTTCTTTTCAAATGGAATCTCAAGTTTTTACCATTAAATAAATAAATAATATTTAAAATAAGATTAAATTAAAGTTATAGAGTATAGGGAATTATGAGATACCAATCATTTAAAAATATTACAAAAAAGGCCTTCACAAAATTTTGAATAGTTCATTGCAATCAATGATGTGTTCATTGTGGAAGACCATATTAAGACCAGTTTGGTTTACATAACAATCAACGTTATACACATAAACAATAGAGGTAATTTTCTCTAAATTTCAAAGTTTAGAATCCAGGATATTACTTGCAGAATAGTTTAGGCTCTTTAATGCTCATTAACAAATGACACATTAGTAAGAAACTGCTAAATTAGCATTTTGACTAGGTCTCATTAAGTGAATAGTAATGATGTTGAGTATAAGTTAATAGTGGGGATAATTTGCCATGAATTTAGAAGTTTAGGATCAATTTTGCACATTTTAGGAGTTAAAGTTCTAGGCTACTTTCATGTAATACTTTAGAATTTAGAATGCTCATTAACCTTATAATAAAAAAATAGGAGAAAGTTTGGTCCCTTTTTTTTTGTTTAAAGTATTTTTATTACTGACAACCATGAGACTAATGCCTCAAGAAATAATAATTTAATAGGTCATTTTTTCCTAGAAGGTATTTTTCCTTACACATCTTTAAAAATTAAACTCTAAAATGATGTTTAAGGACTCAAACTATTATCATCTATGTCACAAAATAAGAGAGTCACCTTGATAAAAGGATCAAAGAAGAGAGTCCTTGAAAAATAGAGGCAGTAGGTTTTTTCTACAAAATTTAACAAGGGGCTTGCCCATTGAATTATATGGGCTCCATTTCAAAGAATAAATAGCCCAACCGTTATGAAGACATAAACGGGCCAACCCAAACCAGCACTCACGTCCACACGATCCAGGTTACGCTGATCACAAATCCTTGAAACTAAACATCCGCTAAATTCCATGCTTCTCCTATTCTCCAATCTTTCTCCTCCGCAACAGTTTCCTTTTTCCTTCCCTCTGCTCGTTCAAGGCTTCAAAGCAATTATCACGTGGATCGCATGCCCTCCATAGTTACCATGTGGCCCCTTTCCTTCTGGGAAACTTTTTCCCGCAGAACTACAAAAGCCGCCCTCTCGCCTTCTCTCTCCATATTCCATCATCAGTTCATCACCTCATCCTACTCTCTCCTGTCGACGACGGGATTCGTGTCCGCGACGCTGCAGTTCTGTGCGCCGATTCCCGGACAAAGCCTCTTGTGCGTCGTCGACGATGGCCAAGAAGAGGAAGTCCATTGCTTCAAGCCTCGATGAGGTGGATCGAACCATGTATGCGTCCTTTTGCAGCGCGGCGAATTCTCTGTCACAACTGTATACTCAAGCTATGAACCACCAGAAGCTTTCGTTCCAGGCCGGTGAAAGACACGGCCTTGTAAGATCTCTTTCCACCTTATATGAGTTGGTTGTTGTTTGTGCTTGAAAGTGAAGGAATTTGCTACTTCTGAATTTCAGCTTTATGCTGATGGGTTTGAATTGGTGATTCGATGCGTCGATACTACTTTCTGCCCCTAATTTTTACTCTGGTTTTTGATGTCCTTTATCCATTCTCGATTGCTAATTAGGAATGGATATTTTGCCTTGTCTTGCTTTTTTGTATGACAATTACATCATCGCAAATTCACTGTATCTTTTGTAATACCTGTGTTATATGAATGGTCGAGGTTTTTCAATGGAAGGCTTGTGTTTTCTCTTTATGTATTCATATATATAACTTAACCCATATAGATTTCTGGTTCATGGTATCCAAAATTTTAGAATCTCTGAATTCTTTTTCTTTTTGTTTTGCTTTTGGAGTTATTTTCCCTAGTTTTGGATGGTTTAATTTGATCTGTACTTCTGTAAGAAAGATGGTTCGTTTTAAATTTATCGAACACTAGCACTAGAAAGGCTAACTTATTTTGACATTCCAATTTACTTTAGTATGAGAATTTTGAGACTTATCTGGACATTATAGTACAAATAACGTGTGTCGTTTTATTGATTCAGTAGACTAAAGGTGATTCGCTTAGCCGAAAACACTTGAGAGGTACTTCAATAGTTTGATTTCAGCACAAAATGGAGAAGGAGTTCGTTTATGATATTGGAGTCTGCCTTGCTGGAAGGGTGCAATAAGCATTTACAGAATTGGTCTTAGGCTTAATTAAACATTTTACAGAGAAACCTTTGACATGGCCTAAATTTTACGTAGCATGAGGCTGCGAACATACATAAAGTGAGCTCTATTTTATTTTAGCAAAATGTTAAGAACGAAGCCATTTGAAAAATCAAAATATCGAATACATTAAAATTTGAACCAAGGAGCCATTCCAATTGTGTTAATTTCTGACATCTTGTATCGAAGTGTGTTTTTGTGATCTATCCACTGTTCCATTGTAACAAGAAGTAAAATGCTCAATATATCCCAACTAGGCTAGTGCTTGATGATGATGAAGTAAAAAACTAACTGGCAGGACTGAGTGACTAATAGATAATTTATGAAGATTATGAGAAATTAACCCATTACCTGTGCTAATCTTGGTTGGCATTAGCGGACTGGCATGTCTCCAGCCTCTGACTTCTAAGGTTATGGACTATAATACTGAGTTTGAGAACATTGGTTGTCAGGTTTCTTCTCATCTATGTGAAACTTGGTTTTTGTCATTGGTATTTGGAAAAGTATTGGTCTGCTTGACCATGTCCCCAAATAAAGTAATGATTTTTCTGGAGAAGAGGTCTTCATTTTAATTTATGCTTTATAGACTTTGAAAGGCATGGTGCATCTTTGTTCCTTTTCTTCTTTCTATTATGGGATATTTAAATGCTTGAATATGACAGCTAGTTATTTAAAAAATATATATCAACCAGGAGGTGGGGCTTCTAGCATACCCATTTGTGGAGATCAACTTTTGGGAAGCTAGTAACCTGTATCAGATTTTGTATCCTAACAAGCAGCATTTTTTTTTTTTCACTTACGTAAACAATGCATCATGGACTGTTCATATTTAGCTGTGGTAACGTTGACGTTGATATTCAAAACCTTATCTTGACATTTTGTTGATTTGGTTGTCCTTTTGATTTCAGGAAAAGCTTCATCAGTGGGTCAGGAGACAGCAAGAGGGAGGATCAAGAGTTGGAACGGCTGATATAGTCAACTATATTCAGGTTGGTTTGACTGCTTTCTTTTATAAACATGTTTCATGTATAAGAATTTCGACATTGGCACTCTATTTGTACTGAACTGTTATGTGTGATACCATGTAAATGTTGCCTAAGCTATCTAGAGAACACATAACAATTATGATGAAATACTGTGTGTTTTTATGCCTGTTGTTGTTTGGGCTTGGAGGACTGTGATATTGGAGATGGTTTGTGGCTATTTGCGGAAAGAATTTGTATGTGTGATGGTGTAATGCCATGATTATCTCAGGTAATGTAATATACATTGCTTGGATTGTTGGAGGGGCCTTTGCCAAGTCTCATGTTTTAATGTCAATCTGATTGGTTGCATAATTCTCACTGCACAGAGAAAATTGGGGAAAATGTATAACATGATTTTGTTCTTATCATCATCCTTTATCAACTTTTTGGTTGGAAAATGGTCATTTTCAACAAAAAGCATTTTTATTGATGCATTGCTAGTAAATTACAACAAGAGAAATTAGTGGAAAGGATTTATATTTGTGAAGAATTAATACTCATGCCATTATTCTCTCATGTAATGTAATATACAATGATTGGATTGTTGATGAGGCCTTCGCCAATGTAGATCCACCCATGATTAGGAGCTTGTTAATGTACAGGGAAAAAGTTAAAAAGCATATCTAATGTGTAACATTGTTTGTTGTTATCATTGTCCTTCATTAGATTTTGGTTGGAAAATGAACGTTTTCAACTAAAAGCATTATTGTTGATGTGGTATTAATCAATAAATAATGCTTTGTTCCTATAGGTGAGGTCAATGTCTACTGCCTTTTGTCTATAAGCCTTTGCTTTGGCATAGTTTGTATGCTCTAGCCGATTTTCAGTTCATTCCTATATCTTTTTTCTTCCATGGTCATTCTATTTTTCATTCTTCTTGGATGTTGAAAACATAATGCATTTTCAGAATTCGATTGTAGCATTTGCCATTGCAAACATAAAATGACATTAAGGTGAGTTTGTTGCCTATGCAAGATAGTTTGTCTATTGTACTGCATTATATAGAACTAAAACGACACATTATCTTGCATGATATTTTGTGGATTTTGCAGATGATAGTAATAGTTAATTCAATCTACAATAACTTTCATTTATAAAAATTATGGTTTGTAAAATTTAGTGGGAGAAGTTATTTCATGTGTAAGTTTCTTGCATCTTAAAAAGGGGACATCTACAGGTTGACTCAGCAATTTCAAATATTTTTAAAGTTGAAACTTCATATGTTTTCTGACATTTGAAGTAATCAAATAGCCCCAGCGGAGAAGGTTAGGTTTGAAATGAAGTTATAGTGGGTAACGAGAGGAAGAAATGTCATAACAATTTCTTTCCATGTGGAAAGTTTACTGGATTGACAGTTCCAACAAATTAAATTGGTTGGTTTTGGCTTGTAGCATGTTTTGTTCTAGAGGCAATTTGGAAATCTTGGTTGTAGCACATAGTTTTAATAAAAATGGAACACAAACAATAGGCTTTGTGCTGTATTAAAGGGCATCGTTAAAACATTCTTCTCTGACGCTATTGCAAAGTGAGTGTGTAATATTTTTCTCCTCTGGTTGTAGAATGAACTGGATTATTGCGGAGAGGAGCCATCAATGTCTCCCAGAGCTCCGCTGCCACAGCATCAGTCTCAGCCAGTTATGCATGTTAATGGTTCAGGCTTCCCGGTCAGTTCAGGATCTTGTGGCCAAACTATTCTTGGGCAGGGACTTCGCCCTGAGCAATGTGATAATCAACCAAAGAATTCCGTGTTTTCTAATGCTTTGTCGAGCCCGGTTCGTGGAAGTCTTCAACACTATCAAATCGGCGAGGGATGTTACTTCCCTAGTGGTCTGTCCATGGGTAACGGAAACCGATATAGCGAACCCGGCTTTCATCACCAGCAAAACAGGGATTCTTCTTCTTTTAGTTCCAATGATTCTGCCATGGACATGCATGCTGACTAGTCTTTGCCTGTATACTAAAAATTCTTGTTTGACAAAGCCTTATGAAATACCTGCAAAAGAAGTGAATATCTATGTCATCCTGGTCATTAGTTTGGTTCTAAAATGATATTTTGTAAAGCTTTTGTTTGTTTTGTTTTATAGCTTATAAGCTTTCTAATTTGTACCTTGGTGTTGCTACCTTGGACGACTTTTATCAGTGCAAGAAATGTACTATCTTAGTTGCCTATGTAAATTCGTTCTTTCTGCAAATTTAATTAATCTACAAGGCAATTTCCAGTGTCCGCTGTCTCTCGTTTGTCGCTTCTTTTCATTTCATACATCATCATATGTAAGGTTTTGTTTCTTGGCAGGTCCTTGCGAGGTTCCAAGACCAGGCAATATATATATATATATATATATATATATAAAAGGGAGGGGGGGCGCTATAAGGTGGTGTTCCCATAGGATAATTTAGAGAGATCACAGAAAATAATTTATTATTTAGATATTTTATATGCAACCAGAAATTATTGTGTTTCGTTATTGTGATAAAAATTATTTATTATTTAATGATTTTTAAATTGTATATACCTTTCTCTACCTCTATATTTTTATTTTTTTAATAACATTTTTTTTTATCTATTGCATCTTCTTTTTCCCAAAAAAAAAATTAGAAGCTATTTGAAGGAGTTTTCAAAATAATCAGAAATTTTTTATCTTGACTATTTTAAAAAATTTAAACAGCATAAATATATTTTTAATCATGTAACTTTATATAGTATTTTAGTTTATTTCTTTAATTTTATAAAATATTTTTTTAGTCATCCAACTTTAATGTTGTTAGTTTAATTGATAGAAGATGTTGATATTATAGTTTTAATTACTTACAAGTCATTCTTAAAAGTTAAAAGTGTAAAGAAAGCTAAGTGGGTGGAAAGCACAATGCTTATCACCTGTAGGGAGGCTTGCCCTTGTCCAATCTGTTTCATCTCAAACGGTTGTGTTTCATATGCAAAACAGTCATTTGCCAAATAGTGTGAATATGAAATTGAAAAGATGCAAAAGAATTTCGTTTGTGGTTCATCGGAGGATAGGGGGAAGGTGTACCTTGTGGGGTGGGAGTCTTTGTGCATGCCAAAAGAGATTGGAGGTTATGGGTTGAGGGATATGGTGTGTATGAATGAAGCATTATTTGGGAAGATAGGCAGGAATTTATTGAGTAATGTTCCTCTATCTAGATTAGTAAGTATGATAGGGGTTCTAACTTGTTAAAGGAGTTTAAAGAGAAGGATTCTGATTCGGTCACTTGAAAGTTTATTGCTAATATTTGGCCAAAGATTAAGGAGGATGTTGCTTGGAGTGTGAATAGTTGTAGGAAGGTGCAATTTTGGGCAGATGTGTGAATGAATAAGGGGGAGTGTAATGAGACCCAACCAGGAAAAAAGAGTATTAAATGCAAAATTAGAGTAATAGAGTAAGGTGAGGGGAAAATATTGAGGTTTTGATATTAATAAACCAAAAGGAAATCGAATCAGTGTTATAATTGACACTCATTGATTATGTTCAAAACCCTATCTTCCCTAACAATCCAAAGACAGCAATAACAGAATAAAGCATACTCATAAAGGTCTCACAACTTCCGACATTTGAAAGGCTAGTCTCTTCCTCATTGTTCTATTATAAAGACATTCTACCCTCCCATTTCAGCAAAAGACTACTAATAGTTATAGCATGGCTTCTCCACAGCCCATACTGCCTAGAAATTATAACACAAGATTATAAATCAATGTTCCTTATGACTAAGGATCGAAGGATAAACATCCAGACTAGTCAAAATGTTTCCATTTAAGTTATTCATCTTCTTTGCCTTCCTCATATATGTCATAGGAAAATAACGAGCTGTATCAGAATGTTTGGTGCAATGTTGCAAGGAGACTCTCGAATAGGATATGTTGAACAGTAAAGTGATAGATTGGTTAACTTAAGAAAATGAATCGAATTTTGAGTTACTTGGCAGTTATCTTACATCTGCTGACTTGTTGAAATTGAGAGCTATTCCAACACCTAATGATAGTTGAGGTATTGGTAATGTTGTTTGGCAGGTATTATGCATTCATCCTACTTTATGGTTGACATGCATAACTATATTAGAGGTGAGAGGGAGATACAAGGGCATCCTCTTTAAAAGGTTGTTTGGAGTTGGAAGGAACCTAGAAGGATCCAAGTCTTTCTTTGGTTGGTTAGTCATGAAAGGCTCCACACATCTATTAGAAGAATGCATTTTTTTGGTTGCTTTGATTTGTGTAGCAAGTGCCAAGAGATCAAGAAGATGTTTTACATGTGCTTCAGGATTGCATAGAGGCTTGGGTTGTTTGGAAAGATCTAGGGAAGAGTGATGCTGAGAGGAGTTTTTTTGGTAGTTGATAAGGTTAGTTGGCTGTCTTTTAATCTTGCTAGTTGTAGTGGTAACTGGAACATTTATTTTACTGTGACTTGTTGGTGGTTGTGGTATTGGAAGAACCTTCTAATCCTAAAGAGGTGATTTGGAAGTATATTTAGGAAGTTTTGAACTTATGCTTTGGATTTGATAACAATGGTTTGCTAAAACGTTATATAGTAGTGGGGTAGACGAAACTAAATTTTGATGGGATTGTTAAAGGGAATTGTGTTACTGGTTGTGGTGGATCATTAGAGATGATCAAGGAGGTTGGTAATATATAAAATAATAAAAACCATGTGTTATTTAGGTAGTGGTAGTTATTTAAGGGCAGTTAGGTCATTTATTGTTTTGTTTGACTTTTTTACACCCAAAGCCTACAAATACTAGGTTTCTCTTAATTGTAATTAAGCTGATATCATAATAAAACGTATCATTTAGAAACCTAATTCTCTCTCTTGATGTTCTCTCTATTTTTCTCTATTCCTTTATTCTTTTCTGAATTCTCTTCCTCTTCTTTTCAAACTCTATCTTATATCTCTCTTATATCCTACTTCTTCAACCTTTTTTCTATTAGTAGTATCAAAGCACTCGTTCCTTGACCACTTTTCTTTACTTCTTTCTATCATATGATGGCATACGGTGAAGACTCATAACCAAACCTAACAAAAGATGGAAGAAAGACTGTACGAGATAGAATAAAGACTCATCAAACTTAACTCTGTTAACATACTTAGTGACCAAGTCACTGGTCTCTCATAATAGATTCAGCCTTTGATGCATGAAAGGGACAACTAGTCTACTACCCATGATTGTCGAAATAGAGAAGGCCAAAATGGGCATAAGCATTTTCATGAAGAAGATTCAAGGCACAGAGAAGATTACCGACGGCTTACCTAGTTCATAAAAATGAACTTTCCTAAATTTTCTCAGTCCGATGTGCTGGGTTAGATCATGAGATGTGAGAGATACTTTGACTTTAATACTTTGACCTTAATAACACATCTGAAAATGAGAAAGTTAAAATGACATCTATTTGTTCAGACGAAAAAGCTTGGTCATGGCACACGGTTATGGAGAAGAATTAGTTTGGTTTCACTTTGACTTAGGTGGAGTATGTTGAAGCCTTGAAGCAGTGATTCGAACCTACTCATAGGACACCAATGAGCAACTTGATGCACTTATGGCAAAAAAGATCCTTAGCCAAGTACAATGACACCTTTGACACCATTGCTTGCAAACTGGATCTTCCACAATACTTGGTTGAAGCTTACATGGAAGGTTTGATAGAGGATTACGTAGGTCTAGTTAGACTCTTTAAACCTAGAACTCTCCAAGAAGCTTGCTCATTGGCACGCATGCTATAAAATCTCAATCTACTAAACATCATTAACTAATAAACTCATGGTAATCAAAAGATTAACCTATAAAGGTAATTACCAAGTTTTAATTCAAAATCAAGGGATCTTAAGTTTTCATAATCAAAATAAATTTAAATCAGTCATAAACTCTTATATTAGAGTAAAAGTAAGATATAAAAGCATAAGATACCTCAAGGAAGTGAAATAAATCAAAAACAGTTGAAAAACAACTCATTTTCTATGAAACAGGGCAATGCGACGCAACTCGTGCATGCTACGCCACGGTGTGTTGCTCTCTGTGCCACATGTTGTGGCTCAGGCGCTATGCACTGCAGTGTGTTGCACGTAAATGAAAATGGATTTTGCTATCATTTGACCGGAGAATTAGGGAACTTCCAACACGTCTCGATTCTCCATCCAATGTCCAATGTCTAAATGATGTGATCTAGGTGTCTACAGAAAGCTCTTTACATAAATTAGCTAATGGCATGAGTTTTACTTTCAAAATAAGTCATACTAAGAAGTTGAATACTCAAATACATTTTGATCACTTTTTGCAACTTTCACACAAAAAGGGTGACCAAAACCCACAACAAATGTTAAAAGCCTTTCTTAACATTTAGACCATATCTATTAGACCTAGGACTATCAGTGTAACATGTCACATACACTTAAACACCAATACAACATAAAATCACTCGTCAATTCCTTTTTGCCAAAAATAGAGGGGGAGGCAAATTTCCATTGCATTGTATCAAAATTCATTGTAACACATTTAAAACATTATTTCTATACTTGCACTAGTATTTTAACCCTATTCACATATATATTTCTTAATACACAAATACTTAAGGTCCAAAATACAATTCAAACCTGTGCAATAACAAAATAATGCAAATGCAACTATATGCAATCTAGAATTGGCAACCATATGCTATTACACAAAATAAACAGATACAAAAGGCATACTAAAGGAATACACAGATTTCTATGCCTTAGTAGCTTTGTCCCTCTCAATATCAGAGCTAGAGCCTACAAATGTTAAAGAAGAGAGGTGAGTCTAACCACTCAGTAACTAAGGTAAAACCTACCCTATACAGTTATATATCAATTGTAAATCAAACACATGTATATGAAATCAAGTACTTAAAATATGCTTTAACACATATCATAACTTATTAATTCAGTTAACACATTGCTATCTCGCATATGCTGAGTATATAATCACAAAACACTTAGACATGTGACTATGACCTGATTTATCACACGACTTGCCACAATTCAAAACATGTGACATGTCATAAATTTACATTGGTAATGATTAACCAACCTTATACCTTCCTTATTTCCTCAAATTGAAACCATAGGCATAACACTGAATAGGGTTTTATCTGTGTGACTGGACTATTTAAGCTCACTAATCGTGAGGCGTGACCCGGTTAGAGATCACATGACTCACTCTCGGATCACGGCTTTTCCCCCTCTCGAATCTCTAGGGTGTC